TCATAAGGCTTCAGTTAACCAAATGCTTCTAATTAATTCAAAATGAAATGCAAACCTGGTCATAACTGTTTAGCCTCCTTATCTCTGTAACCATTTTCCTTCAGTGTACATTCACACAGATGTGTGAAGGTTTTGAGGTAGTGTATGGTAGTGTAACTGACAGCTTTCAAACAAGGACATTTTGTGTACTTTTAATTTCATTTCAATATTCTACAATCTTATAAGCAACACTCCTGATCCTTTTAAACAATTCTGATATTGAACATGTTTGAACATCTCTTAATAATATTATCATTTTGTACAGTTTGTGTACTGTATTAAAAATAGATCATTTTGTACAGTTTGTGTACTGTATACTGACTACAGTATCATGCGAGTGTCTAGTTAGTGGTACTGTAATGATGCCAGATGGTGTGCATCATTATTTACCATGTAATTTATTAATAGTTAAATATTGCTGTTAGTCAGTGTCATTCTAATTATCTGAAACTGAAAGATAGAGACTGTAACCATGAAGGAAAAAAAGGTTAACCATTTCCCTCCAAATTAAATCACACGATAAAATAAAGGAAATATGGGTAGCATAATTAAAATAATACTGCCATGACTCATGATGAAGGTGATGCAGAAGAAATACAGAAACTAACCCAGATTTGGAAGCTTGACATTCAGCAGAGAAAATGTTTTTTCTGTTAGAGACTGAGGACCAGAGACTTTGTTGTGTGTTACTGTGAAACTAAAATGCCCAAGAGCAGCCAGCCATCACCTGCTATTTGCTTTTAGAAACAGAGAGAGCAAGAGAGAAAAATAAAACCAAAGCAAGCACACAAGCCATTGTGGCAATACAATAGAAACAGAGAGAGCAAGAGAGAAAAATGGCAATACAAGGTAGATCTAGTCAAATATAACTACCATGTTGTATGTTGTGGCTGTATATAAAATGATATAAAACAGACAAAGGTGTAAGTCAAAAAAACAAAATGAAAGGGGGCATTCCAGAATACATTGGCGCAAACCAGAGACAGGTTGATATAACTGAGACTGATTGAAGCGAGGTAATCCACTAAAACACATTATATTCATCACCATCAACTGCTAGAAAACCCCAAAAATAAGACCCAATCAAACTAGAATCTAAACAGCAATACACAAACCTTCGAGTGATACTTTGCAGAAAGAGACATTTTGACAAAACATACATTTCAAAAAGGACAGGCACAAATCAGTTCCGTTAAGTTTCTTCAGTTTCAGGGTTACTACTAGCTCTTCTAGTAGCTTTTCTGATTTACAGGAAAACTGAACAGAGCCACCGTGAATGATGTGAAAAAACACCTGTTTGGTACTTAGTTTTGCTTTGAAAAACACCTGCTAGACAAACTGTTTTTTCATACTGATAAGGATTGTTTTATCAAAACCACTGTCCCTGTCTGTGTGTCATCAGATACCTCCTTAGTCAAACAGTATGTACTATTCTATTCTATTTTTCAATGCTAGTAAAGTACGAACCACTAATATTCTACTCATATTCCTCTGTATAATTTCACACAACTCAACAACAACACAATTTCGGCCAAGGACAACTGTACAACCTTCAACAATTAGGTACAAAACGTATTACTTTCACCAGTGAATCAATTTTTGATCAATACTTAAAGACCTTCTAAATTATCCTTAAAGCATACTGTGAAGGAGAAAGGTTTCAAAAACTTTTAAAGTTCCATAAGATACATAAAGAACAAATGACCGCGTAAATATGAGTCAACCAGCAGCTAATAAATTATATTTTTTTACAAAAACACATTTAATATTTAAGTACAGTATGATATAAATATTTCTGCTGTTGTATACGAACACTATGCTAACTGTGGCTTCCTTTCAACAAAAACACTGATATTGGTGTACGGCCGTAAGCAGAATTTTTAATCGTATTCCAAAAAACACACATTGCGTTGTTTCGAGTCTGTTTTTTTGCCTTTTTTTTAACGTTCGCCAGTGTTTCCCTCTCTTCTCGTCACATGTCAAACAAATGTGTCTCTACTTGTCCTGCCACTTTGCATCAACAATGTCACAGCCATGCCTGAACAAATTGCTATATTCGACAGCGTACACTGCGCTCAGTGTGGAAAAAAAGCAAACAAAGACAAAAGGGAACATTTCTTACCTGTACCGATTTCTCCGGCAGTGTTTAAACCTCATTTTTCCATCCCTGGCGTCATGTTGTCCTCCCGCGTGCGGCGCCTAAGCATTATGAGCGAAGTAGTAGAAAATCCAGCAGTTAGTTCTCAGTATGTACCACAAGGCTCCGCCCCTACTCAGTTTTGATTGGTTGCCTTGCCCGTCAATCTAAAAGAAACGGGTAGTAGGCATAGCAACCATAAATAGGCGGGTCTCAGTGAAAATCTATTGGATAATTGATTCAGAGACAACTACCACGTGACGTAGGTTATAGAGACAATTATGGTTAATTTAATAAGAAAAGAGTAAAAATATCAATCAAATAAACATGATATTATTATATATTATTAAACAGTAAAAGAAGGACATTTGGAAAATAATTGACATAGCTACTCATATAATGGTTTGTTTTAGATATTAAAAAAAATACAAAATAATTTCCTAAATGTTTCTGAATAATTTATGTAAATGTAATTATCTTTCCTGTTCACAATTGTTGATGAGGACTTGATACCCGAAATATTCTTGCTGCAGAACAGAGTACAAAGAACCTGCATTAGCTTTGCCTTTTCAATGGCTGCACACTCACAACGACTGTCTCTACACTTCCCTACGGTAACCTTTCTAGCTACAGGGCCACAGTGACCCATTCTCAGCCTTGTCACCTTCATATTTGCTTCCTTTCTATATTTAGTACCTTTTATACACAATACATCAGCACAAAGGCACAGAGACCCCCCTGAATAAATCATGCACACAATAAAGCAGCTAGAAGTAGTAAGGTTATTTTAAGTTTAGAGGTTTTAGTATTTCACTTTTAGAAATATACTACATGGTTTATGTGCAATCATTGTAATGAAGAAGAATGTTGGAACAGCATCAATAAAATGCAATATCAGCTGAAAGTGCAGCCTGATATCACAGGCTTTGGCTTTTTGACTACATTTTAAAACAACTAGCTGGGCCAAAAGAAGAGACCGTGCAGAAAAGGAGAGAAACAGAGCAAACACAGTTAAATTTTTGTCCTCTTTGTTCTATCAATGCTCATCTATCATATTGACCTCCATAAGTCAATGCAGAGCCTTTACCTACCTAGATTCCTGTTAATTGTTTAGGATAACACAAAAGACTGCAATGGAACATGTTGGGATGTAGTCACAACAATCAAAGGTCAGGGTCTAAACAGTAAACACAAACTCTTTGTGGAATTGCTTTGTCTTGGGTTGAGATGTCCTGTAGTCAACAAACAAACACAGCTCAGGGATTAGAAGCAGTCTGATATGATGAATGGTATGTATTGTTTGTTGTACATCTGGAGCATTAAGTGTCTTTTATATGCAGTTTTAACCTAAAAAATAAATTAAATAAAAAGAGTGGAGGTACAGTTAGGTTTTAATTTTTTATAATGTGACATTTGAAATGGGTAATTTTAGCAGGAGCCCAGCTGATCACATGGTTGAAGAACAACCTGAGGGGTAGTGAGTCATGTGTTTTTAACATTCAAGCATATGATATTACCTGACAGGAGTCCCTTTAGCTCCATAGTAATCAAAGTTATAATTAATGACTGAGAAACTGACAGTCTGTGGGTGGAAGGCTGTTTAGTGCATTTGCTCTGCTGGTAGCTTTGTGTGAAGTGGAAAATAATGGTATTAAAAGAGCAAAAACTAATACTAAATAATTTTAGAAATGAACTCAAAAGGTTCCAACTGGAGTTAAACTAAAGGAGAAAAGAAAAGAACAAGCATTAATAATGCATCTGATTACTGTAGGATATATGTTATTATTCTAAAATTTTATTTCAAATTAAATAACAATTAAAAAGAAATAACGCTAGATTGAAAGTGAGGATTTTTATTTATTGATTTATTTTTTTTGCCACGTGAACAGCTGCTATGATTCAGCCTTTTCAAGGGCTTTTAAACATCAAAGGTGCGAGCTCTGCCAGTTTTCTTCTGCGGGCCTTGAGGCCTGATGTGACGCTGAGTGAAAAATGGTGAAATCAATACAGTGTGCTCGGGAACATAATGTTAAAGTTAGCAGAGCAGCCCAGCGAAGGCTTATGGTTGGTGTATATTTCCTGGGTAGACATTAAAATAACCTCTCCTTTCAGACATGCACTTAACCATAACAATGCACGTACAGCACCAGGTCTAAGATATCAATCAGACATGCAAGAGAGAGATGTAGCTGTTGTTAAAATACTGATGCCCTTGATTGTAGACACAAATAAAAATGTGAGTAATCTCCCTAAATAAAATGAGCTCTAAATTTAATTTGATTGTCAGTTTCTGCCACCTGTTGGTGATTCTATAATAACCCAGTGTGTTTCCATAGGTACAGACAAAAAAAGAGCCTCACACATCATGAAAACAACAACATTAAATACAGAATTTAACAGTGTGAGAAAAAAAAACCCATATTTATCTAGTTTAATGTCCTGACTCCTCTGGGGTTTAAACCCAGGAGCCTCTGCATGTAAGGCAGACATGTGAACCACTATGCAGCCACCACAGAGCTTCATAATGAAATGCTATTTTTAGCTTTTACATTCAGTTTGTTTGGACTGGAACATTATTACTTGCGAATGAAAGGAAATAGAAAATTGCAAAGACACGGAGAAGTTCACAGTGCTTTCAATCAAGCAGCTGCAAAGTCGGATGATTATTTTCACCCCATTTTGAAGCGTTTCAGACAGAGTGGAAGTGATTAACCTCTGTTCAGCTGCCTTTAACCGAGAGGATGGAAAAAATTCAAATTCACTGAATGGATTTCCTGTCTGACAATCTGATGAGGTGTGTGCCCACCTGCCCCACCTGACACAGGTATTTCTCTTCTTTTCTCTCCTGATTAAATTTTACCCCTGCGGAACATGCTGACTGAATCAAACTGCCAAGACAGACGGTGCCCCCCCCACCACAAATCTCAGACTTAATCTCCTCAGTTTTCCTCTCATTTTCCAAAGAGATCAATGGTGTAAGACATCCATCTGTGGACACCTCAGAACCACAGAGAAGACGGCACAGCAGCAGCAACAACAAAGACATTCACACTGGATAATACATCATTCACAGAAAAGGTTTTTCCTTACAGTGCAAAAAAAAAGAAGAAGAAAAAAACAAACAAACCAGAATCATGCCTCAAACCTGGGAGACGTATTATCCTATGTATTTGTGATTGCTCTTTTCTTGGGTGCTTTGACAACCGGGTGAGAAAAATTATCCTTGTGATGAAGTGATGACCTTCACAGAGAACATAGAACCTCAGGAGGAGTGACTGAGGATTTATTCTAGCTCCTCTTTAAAACATTTCAACCAACAATTGATGATATAAAAACCAAAAACTAAAGTGTATTTTTCTAAAAACAAAAAAAACTATTTAGTTAAATTATTCTATCTATGGATTAAAAATCCTGCAGTTCAGGACTGAGCCAATGATGTCTTAAAACTTTAAACAAAACTGACTGTTGGGGTCGCTGTACTCCCATTTGGAGCTCTGTTACAGAGCTGCATTAACAAGCAGTTAATGTCTACGGTTCTAACACTGCAGTATCGTCACAACAGATTACTTTTAAAATTAATTTAAAAATTAATTCCATTCAACTCCACTTTATTTATAAAGCACTTTCGAAAAACAACACAGTTGGCCAAAATGTTCTACACCAAAAACAGAACGAATAGAACACAACCAAGAGTTGAAAGAGATAATAGAATAATGGATAATAGAAATAAAGACTAACAACGATAAAAACAAGTAAACATAGAATAATGGATAATAGAAATAAAGAATAACAAGAATCATGACTGAAACTTAAGAAAAGTCAATTAAAAAATCAATAAAAACCACAAACTTAGCACCAGATTTATCGCCAGAGTCTAAACGTTTGCTAAAAGTTCAATGTCAGTTACATTTCAAATTCCGGGCAGCATCACCACAAGGGAGCGCTTTGACTCCACTGTGTAAACTTCTCCAGACCTACCGGACCTCAGTGGGACATGAAAAGTGTCTGGGTCACTCTTTTCCTCATATCATTGCTCACTGTCTGTGTGTCTCTGTTTATCAGACAGTGTTCAAAAACCCAGTCATTTCTTCCAGATCCTGTTGTCATTTTTTCCTTGACACACTCTCACCAAGGAGCCATTTTTCTCTAATTGCACCATGACATGGTTGTTAAATACCACGGCCATGATTTGGTCTGTCAACACCTTCAAAAACAAAACAACCACAGTGCATTATAAATGTACATTTGCACATGGTTATTAGACTGCATTAAGAAACAGAGTCTGTGATCCAGCCCACGCTGGAGGAAAAAATATTTAGGTAAAAAAAATACATATTAGTTTGACGGACAGTTCAAAAATTCTTTTAAAGATTGGCTATTCCTTGCAGGTCTACACTAAATTATTTGTCTGTCCGAAGTAAAAGTTCACTGTCTGGACAACTGCATAAAACATTTTGAGTGGGTGCTGTATGTCCTTGAAAGCATGGCTTAAAAATACAATACAATAAAGTTCACTGAATTGCTGATAATCAAGGATCAGCCCAGTGTAGCTTAATGTTACTTATACTAATAACTAAAAGTTAGCCAAAAATATCACAGACTATAATAAGTAGATTGCTTAAAACAAAACATTAGCAAAATTAGCCAATAACGAAGCCAGAGTCAGCTTGACTTGAATAAGAGGGATTTAAAAAAAACGAATAAAAGTATTTTAAAAGAAGCTAAAGTTTTGCTAAACATCTAGCCAAAATAACACAAAGGTAGATTATATAATAGATCATAAAATTAGATTATATTAGATTATAAAAAAAGTCTGTGTTTCTTTAAACTCATGATAATGTTCGGTTGCAGACTTAACCACATGATTGAAAACCTTTTTCCTTTTAAAGAGTGAACAACACACCACTCTGAACACACCCACAGTTACCGGACCCACTGGTCCATATGGTTCTGATTTGTCCGTCTGTGTCTGTGGTGGCGATGATGTGACGGCATCTACTCCACCTGGTTGTCAGTGACGCACAGGTCACAGCCAACCTTGGCCTCGGCTCAAACGTGTGTTAGGTCAGCCGTCTGTCTGGGACACACACGTGTTGATGTGCTTCCAGCTGTTTGTGGGGAATCACGGTGTCTGGACCTATGGTCTGGACCAGTCTGGACTGGAGGCTCCTCCCTGCAGGCTGTGAGATCATCACACCCTTTTAATTAGACTGGATCTGCCAATTAGAGCCCAGTCCCAGCTGCTGGTTTAAAGCAGAGACAGACTAAACTTCTGCAGCAGACACACAGAGGTAAGTTGACATTTTCTCTCATTTCTGTCAGAGATTCACCTCCTGAGCACAAACACACTGCTGACTAGAGGACACCAGTCGTATTTCTTCTTCTTCTCTGATTCACAGCACTCAATGATGTCCTCCACTCTCCTCTGCGCTGGATTTTTTCTGGCGTGTGCCTGGACGTTTAGTGCTGCTCAGAGTGAGTTTGATTTATTTGACACGTTTGACTCTGAAAAGCATTTAACCAAGTTTTATGAGGATCAAACCCATTACGGCTGACAACTCCCACATGCCTCTGCAGTGTTAGCTGTACATATAAACCAGAAGGTCAAACTATGCTAAGGTAAAGGTCACAACATCAGTTCCAGGCTGAGGACAATTTAAAGACGATTCCCTGAATTGACGAGTTAATGGAGGCATCACTTATTTAAACTGTAATGATTCAACTGATAATGTCAACTACCTGTCTCAGCCTATCAATATTAAAACAAATAAATTGTCTTTCCACCTGATCTGTGTGTCCAATCAACAGCCAGCTGCAGGGGACGATGTGGTATCGACTACTACAGAGGTTACATCTGCCAGTGTGACTACGGCTGCCTGCTTTATGGAGAGTGCTGCAAGGACTATGAATCCCACTGCACCACAAGTAAGGCTTTTTACTATGTGACACGCATTACAACAAGGTTGTGCAGAAATATAAATACATAAATAAATAATATATATATATATATATATATATATATCGATATATATATATATATATAAGAAATCAAAGCCACAAAGCCATAAAAAATGCATAACATAGCAATTTAAATAAATACTTGAATTAAACTTAAAAAGACAAAAACAAATATATCAAGAAGGCAGAAACTTTTAAGATGAGTGTACAATAAATGTACAAAGTATTGATAGAATAAAGATAGAGTAAAAGTCCAGATTTTACTTTTTCTCAAGTCTCAGCTAAGAGGTGTTCTCAACTGGGGTGTGTTTAAAAAACTATAAATACCATGTCCTATGTTCTTAAATAGAAAATCACATCATCATATATTATTTTGTCTCCAGCTACCTTTGGTTAAAGCCTGTTGTATTTTACATGACTATATTTGTGCTTGTGCTGCAGGAAACTCGTGTAAAGGTCGATGTGGAGAGACCTTCAAGAGAGGGCGGAGGTGTAACTGCGACAGCGACTGCATGAAGTACAAACAGTGCTGCCCAGATTACATGATGCACTGTGATGCAGCAGGTGAGTTCTGACTGAGTGTGTGTTGTCAACTCTAACCCTCACCCATTCTCATCCCAGCCTCACATCCCATCACCGCATCTCAGACTACGTTGAAATCAAGCATCACTTATTTCCAGCTTTTGTGTTTTCCTAATGACATTCCAAGGGTCATATAAAAACTGGGCTGCAGTTAAAGTCATTTTTTTTTTGGCATCGTCATTTGCAACATGCTCATAACAAACATGCATGACTGGAGAAGTGCATTAACGTATTAAAAAAAAGGCCAGAATTAATGCGACATGTCCACCTGCATGTCCACCATCATCTGCAGCAGCATGTGCTGCCACACAGTCAGAATATATTTGACTTTATTATTAATTTCTTATTTCTATTTCATCGGCCCAGACAGTGCAGCAGCAGAGGCGACTAGTTCATGTGATAATGTAGCCAATTACAAACCCAAAGGTATATTTTATCTGTAAAATGTTTCTGTTTCTGCATTACTTTTTTTTTTAAGGAATTGAAGAAAATATTTCTTACAATGTAATTTGTCCCTGACTATATTTCTGCAACATTTCCATAGTGCCAACTCTGGATGATCAAGATCAGCCTGCTGCTGCCAGTGAAGAGAACATTACAGGTGACTGTAAAAGCATGTATTTTATGCTTAAAGCAGCTTAAAGAGGATAATTTTTATTCTCGGAGGATCAGTCTTTACCAGGACAGGCTCAGAGCCCAATGTCTGGGGCCAAAGGAAGCAGTGATGGCATGAGTACGTAAGAGGAGGTTTAAGGACACAGGCTCAGTCACAAGAGAGGAAAAAATAAAACGCAGCCAAGAAATTATGATGATTATAAGGACGATGGAACATTTTTTAGAGGTTTGAATCGAGAACCTGGAATAGATCCATGGGTGGAGTCTTTCATCATGTCACTGCTTTCTCTCAGGAGAAAGACAAGCTGTGATGTTTCCATGTGTCAACAAACAAGAAGGCGCACTGTAGGAAACACCAAGAAGTCCAAAAATATTTGATGTTCTAACATTTAGGTGTTAAGATGAGTGATAAGGGAAATAAGGACAGTTTTTAGAATTCTAGACTTTGATCTAATGAAGAAATTTAGGGAGATTTTAGTTTTACTCCAAAATTCTCAGGAAAAAATTCTGATAGCCAAATTGAATCTTAGAATTCTAGAATTCTGATTCTTATCGAGATGGTCATCTCTGACACCTCTGCTCTGAAAAATTCACAACAAATTCACTTCTATCTATTGTGTCACACTCTCGTAGATTTGAACGACCAGAATCTCCTAAAAGATGAATTCTCCAGCAATGGACAGGAGGAGGCAGTTCCTGAAACCACCAGCGGAGTTGGATTTACACTATCAGCTGAGCAGCAAGATGAGGATCTTACTGAACCCACTCTGCAGCCATATAGTCCAGAGCTCATTCCAGAATCCAGTCCAGAGCCCAGTTCAGAGCCCAGTCAAGAGCCCAGTCCAGAAACCAGTCCAGAGCCCAGTCCAGAATCCAGTCCAGAGCCCACTCCAGAATCCAGTCCAGAGCCCAGTCCAGAGTCTGTAACTGGTCAATCTCTAACTGAAACAACTCCCTGGCATCATGAACCAACACAGTCTGATGCCGAATCCTCCACCTTTTACACCATCAGTGCTGAGCTCACCACTGAGAACACAGGTATGTGGGAGGTTCTTTGCCTGTCATTTCCCAAATGAGAACACAGGTATGTGGGAGGTTCTTCACCTGTCATTTCCCACACACAACACTATGTCCTAGTATTAGTATTAGAGGAAATGAGAGGAGAGGAGACACTAAATGATGAGGTAATAGATAACAGATACTTCTAAAACGTACTTCAAGAGTCAATCATTTGATGTTTTACTCTAGAAGTACTTGGTGACATCTGACATTACAGTGCATTTCTAACACTGACATTTCTGAAACCAGTCGTAGATGTGCAGATGTAAATACATTTCCTCATTTATTTGATAATTAATGCAAATACTGCTACATACATCAGAGTGAATTTGATTGAAGTCGTCTTTGATCACCTTCAGATGTCAGTGGTTCTCTTCTGACCTCAACCATCCCAGGATCATCTCCTCAGCCCACAACATCTGATATTGACGTTTCCACCAGACCTTCTTCAACATCAGCTCCACAGACACAGGTTTCTCCTACAGCCAACAGTCCAGAGGTGGAGACTCTGGCGCTGACCTCGGTGCAGCCTGAGGCTGATGCACAGGAGACAACTGAAGCCTACTCTGATAACCTGGAAATCACAACGCTACCAGTTAGCGTTTCAACATCTGCAGGAGCCACTGAGGTCCACACAGACCTGGGCACATCTGAGGTCACCAACCTCCCTGCCTCGACCACACAGAACCCCACACCCTCCACAGATGTTCAAACAACTTTGGCTCCTGAAGGACATACCACTGAGAACATCTCAGAGAACGTCACATCCAGCACCATGTCTCTTCTGAGCGACACTCAACGTCCTCCCTCCACCGTTTCTCCAGTGGAGCTGAGGAACGTCTCCGACTTTGACGCCCTAATCATTCTCACTCCCTCCACATCGACAGCTCCAGAGCAGGATGGCACCTCTGAGGGAACACCACATGTAACCACCGCTGGTCCAGTGACCACCGCACCTGATGTGACCAAGCCACAAACATCTGAACCAACATCAGAACCAACATCAGAACCACAGAACAAACCATCCTCAGCTCAACCAATTTTGGTTAAACCAAACTCCAAACTAGAGATCAAGCCTGTGGTCAACACACAACGTCTGACCTTGGACAATACAAGAGACTTTCTAGCAGGTATTCAAAGACTGGTGAAGAGTCTCACTGCCTCACAAAGTTGAGGAAAAACATTTCTGTTAAAGAACCTCTGTCAGGATAATCTGAAGGATCTCTGAACTCCTCTACAACTGCTGGGAATTTTCAGTTTTCTCAGTGGAAATATTTTCTCCTACTTTAACACACTGTCTCCGTATCACTGTGTTTTTTTTCAGATGACAGCAGCGACACAAACCTATGCAGTGGGCGGCCAGTGGGTGCAGTGACCACTCTGAAGAACGGGACAATGGTGGTTTTTAGAGGTCAGTGGTAAAGTCAAAGTAAAGCGAAAGAAAATGTGACTGATCTCAAACATTGACTTTTATCGTTTTTAGAGAACATAAAGTCAATTTTATAAATCCCAATCCCATTTAATGAAACTAAGGTAATAAAGCAAGACTGGACATGACATACAGTAAGTGAACAGTAGGAGCCTTGATGTAAGTGATGTTTGTTGAATTCATTGCCTGCGACTTGTTGCTGTTTAGTCAGTCAACCCCCATTATGATATTGATTTACTAAGTTAGCACCATCACCAATGACAAAACACTATAATTATTATGTTATACATACTATGTAATCCCAGGGATTGAGAATCCCTGCCCTAAAGCATTTATCTGGACTAGTAAAGTCATACATAATCATAATTCAAATCTGTAATAAAACTAATGTAATGTAGTAGTGATACTTCATCAATAAACAACATTTTTTAAATCACTTACCCGTTTGTTTGTTGTTGGGTTTTTTTCCAAACAGGACACTACTTCTGGTTCCTCGACAGAAACAGGAGCCCAGGTCCGGCCAGAGATATCACCCAGGTGTGGGGTGTCCCTTCACCTATCGACACCGTGTTCACTCGCTGCAACTGCCAAGGGAAAACGTACATTTTTAAGGTGAACTCTTCATTTAAAACCCAAGTTACTGTAAATACCTCATAAAATAGTACAGCACCGAATATTAATAAAACCGTTTGTTTGTTACTCTGATGTTCGCAGGGAGCCAAGTACTGGAGATTTGAAAATGGCGCCTTAGACCCTGGTTACCCCAAAGTGGTCGAAACCGGTTTTGACGGACTTCGAGGACAAGTGACAGCTGCTCTGTCTGTGCCTCAGTACAGACGGAGGAGAGAGTCTGTCTACTTCTTTAAGAGAGGTGGCGTCACAAATTTGAATTTAACGAACTTGATATCGTTAGTCGGTGTTGGACATGACAAATAACTTTTGTACATTTTTGTATTTGTCCAGGCGGACAGGTGCAGCAATACTCATACCAGTCTGGAACCACACCGACATGTGGCAGGAAAGTCCACAACCCACTTTACAGAATCCGCAACGCTCGACAAGCAGGTGCTACAAAAACCAAACTAAATCTCTGGATTCAGTCCGTTTATAGACGCTTACCTTTTTTTTTTACCTCCCGCTGCTGTAACACGGGTGACCAGGTCATAGTCAATAAAACGTGGGGCAAATTTTGAGTCGGACAATGTGTAAGACGTTAGGTCACAAAGCTGTACCATATTCTGATAAGACTAGAGCAGCGGGTGTAGGTAAGTGTAGGCCGTGTCGCCCGTAGAGGGCGCCAGAGTAATTAAGCGTTGCAAATATGGAATAAGAAAGGTAGATAGGTGACATCAGGCAAATTATTTTTTTAAATTCAAATCAATTTTTCAAAAAATGAAAGAACTACACTGAAGTATTTTCAATATGCCTAGTTTTAGCTATTTTTTGGGAAACTTTTAGTGATTTTCTGTAAAAACAAAAGACAAACAACTTAGCTTTGAAATAACATAAGCATTTGCTTTTGATTTTGAAAAATAAAAATATATAAATGTGTGACATTTGGCTCTGTTCCCAGTGTCTCTCCTCGGCCCTGTCATCAACATTCGGACGTCCTGGAAGAGTTTCCCCACCACCATCACTGCTGCCGTCTCTGTTCCCAGTAACAGTGAACCAGAGGGATACAAATACTACGTGTTTTCAAGATGTAAGTCAGCATCTCTCAATTTTTTTGGCTGACGTTCTTTAGGCACTTTACGACTCATAAAGTCGTATGTTAATCCCATCCATCCATCCATTTTCATCCACTTATCCATTGCCGGGTCGTGGGGCCATACCAACCCCCCTGAACCTTCCTGCGGGTGGTGAGTCCACTGGAAGGTACCAACCACCCTAACCGGGATTCGATCTTGCCCAGGAGGTGAACCCTTGGGTTCCACACCAATGATACACACATTGCCTCTGGGCCAAAGCGTCACTTATGTTAATCCCATTCTCGCCATGTCCAACAAAGACTGTGTGTTCCTGGATGTGTGGGTTAGGGTCCATGTGGTTTGAGCAAATGACAAAAGGTCACGAGGTGAGGGCGGCGCCCAGTGTAAAAGTTTATAGTGGCTGGGCCACAAAGAGGCGTCAGTTTCAATAATCAGACTTAAATATTCCTGTAGTTAGTGACTGAACATTTTAACAACTTTAGATGTTTAGTAGGCGTTTACCGTCTGCACTTTGACATGATTCCAAACACAAACAACAACTTTTCACGTTCAGCCAAGAGCTGCTGCACTCACCGTCCGGAAAACTCAATACCCACCATGCTTTGACTGTCATGCGCAATTCATATCCACTGAAATTGTAACTGGCATAAAGCAAACATCCAAAATGTCACTTATGTGTTTCAGTGCTGAGCGTCTTGGTCTATTGACCATTTAACTTTGTTTTCACAGCCAAGTCCTACAACGTGAGGATGGACGGTCAACATCCCGTCATCGAGACTCCTAAGGTCAACACGACACCTCAGAACGACGACTTCATCAAGTGCCCGAAGAAATAAATGCACATTTCATTAAATACATACTAAGATTTCGCACCAACTCTGGGATCATTTTAAAGTTTATTACATTCTTTTATAAAACACACTGCTTTAGCATGGACCACTCACAAGTACAATAAAAACACAACGGGCATCAGAGCAACTATTATGAAAACAAGTGTGACGACAAATCTGTTATGTCTAATAAAATGAAGTAGAGATGATGCAGTCCCTTCTGTGTGGTTTTCTACTTGCTGTTCTATCTGGCGAAGCGTCTCCCGTGGAACCCTCGAGAAGGAAAGGCCTGACCTGTTGATATAAAATATATTACAAAAAAGAAAAATGTTAAACCTGTGTAAAAACAATGTACAGTGACTATAGAAAATGTAGTGAAACAATGCTTTTCCATCATTAATAAATACACCTAAACGCATCAGAAACGTTGTACAGTGTGTTCAAAGTGAAATCAAACCTCCTCTCTTCCAACGTCCTCCGCGGCTCTCAGGCCAGCGCTGCAGCTGTCTGCTGGGCCCAGGTCTGGAGGACTTCGGTGGAGCAGTGCTTGTATCTACAAAAACAAACGTGGAAACAAAAGATAATGTCAGATGGAGACCAATGATTCACTCTGGTGACCCCCTGAGGGGGAGGGGAAAGCAGGCTTTTAGCTCCACTGTACCTGCAGAGCTGGAGGAAGGCTCCTGACTGGTGGAGGGGAGATTGGACTTTTCAGCAGGTGGAGCTGGCTCCTCAACATCCACCTGTGACGCCACTGGTTCCACTGACACTTCAGCGCTGGACCTGCAGCAAATGGACCATGAAAGACAACAGAAAACGCTTTAAAGTAATCTTTTAATTAGAGTTCCATAAAACCCAGAAATATTTAAGTTATTTATTTTGTATATTTACTGTACATACATTTATAGCAAAATACTTTTATTTAAACCATATTTTTTTCCGACTTCTTCTGAACTATAATTTACACAGGTTTGATGACAAAAATGTGAGAATATCAAACAGGTCATATTTTTTCTCTACACTTTTTTTTTTATTTCTAGAGTCTTCCTTGGAGGCATCTTCTCTGCAGAAATGCATTTCTCTTGGTCTAAAATCTCAAAGTCCATTTCTTTGCAGGACTGTATTTCGATCAGTCTCACCTCTCACTGTCAGGCTCCAGGAAGACGTCGTCTCTCTCGTCCCCAGTAGTGGCCGATCCTGGCACAGTCAGGCCGGGTGTGGATGTGCTCACCATGGGAACTGACTGGGAGGCATGTTCTGTGGTGTCAGACTGAGCAGCCTCTGAGAAAACTGTCACTGTGAGAAAATAACAGAAAACCAACCTGTTAAATTCACAGCTTTCTCAGTAACAGCTAACAGACACCTGATCAGACCAACAAGTGTGCATTACTGTACCTGGAGCTGCCACCTGCAGCGGTGTGGTGGGAACACTGCGTCCACCAGACTCTTCTTCATGACTGGACAAGAACAGGGGACTTTCATACATGCCAAGACCTGAGGACAGAACGTGCTTTGGTTTAGGAACAATTATTGACATCAGAATGTGTTGTTTTGGAACTGGCTGATGGGATATTTCATAGTTTGGTGGTGAAATAACCTCCTTGCGATGCGAGCTGTCCCAGGTCAGAGTGTGAAGAGGAGCTGGTCTGCGGCACCTCTTCTGAGGGACCAAACCTGAAGCGAGGGACTCCAGCCACCTGTGGAGAACTGATGCACAGACAATATTTCTTAAGTCTTGTTTATTTTTAAGGGGACTCCTCAAGGTCTGTGTAGGGATAACTGATTGATCGTTGTTCATTGATAAACAGCTTAAGTGTGTGACAACTCACTGAATGGCCTGGTCAAAGCCGTCTCTGTGTGAAGCTCCCAGAGTAGGAGTACTGGGAACCATTCTGTCATCGTCATCGAAAAACTGCTGCTGCTGCTGCTGCAGAAGAGGAGAAACAAAAAGAAAGAGGTTTCGTATTTCCAATAATCCCACAGTCACAAATGAACAGGTGTGAAACACACACCTATCTTCATCATCCTCATTAATTAATGACATTCATCAGACTTACAGCACTGACAGGAACACCAGAGGTGAGCTGAGGAACTCTTCCCACTGACTGACGACGAACAGGAATGCGCTGTAAATACCAAAAAAGAAAACTCAGTGATTTTTAAGTTGCAGTAATTCCCACCAGAATAAATACCTGCAGTACACAGTACTTCACTCCTAACTTTTCTCATCTCATTATCTTTTTTTCTTCATACCTGAACCTGAGCAGGAGGGCCCAGTTCTGATGTTGGAGCAGGGTGGATGTTGAGGCGGGGGGGTAGTTGATGTGCCGGTCTCCTTGGTGACTGGGGCATTCGCGTACCAGAGCTTGTGATTGGTTGTTCTGTGGAAAAGGCCTCCATAGAGCTGCTCTCAACTGGAGTACGACAGATAAGGGTTGAAAATAAACAAAAGCTGAAATAAAAACACTCCATCAGTATAAAAACTGAGCATAACTATGTTACTTGAGGTGAGTCCATTACTGTGTGCTGCTTTTTAATGTAAGCTGTTCTCATTCATGTTTGTGCAGATTCTTTCCCAAAAGGTAAGAAATTCCCAATAAACCCGTTTTATGGTCATTTCAGTTTTAAGCGTGACCATAAACGGTCATTCCAGGACTGAAATGACATGAGAATTTTACAGTAATGTAAATGAGTTCTGCTTTGGCAGACAGTTGTGTTCCTCTTCCTACGAGACAGACGACAACATATGACCTTTTCCTCAGTCATCACGTCCAGTGTCAGATAACTAATTGGACGCTGGGACAGAGTGTGAGTTCATGTGGTGACTTTTCAGATGAATGTACTGCGCGTATATATGTTTTTGACAGGGTTTCCTGGATCTTACAGCTGGGTGTCTGGGAATCTGCGGGCCTTTGGGTGGAGTCCGACGCCCCCAAACTCTCCTCTGTCTCTGTGCCCGGGTCTGTTACGTCAGCTCCCTGGGAAAGACAAAAACAGAGAGGAAATACTGAGATGGAATGGGCAGTAAAAGTTCAAGAGACACACACGCAAAAAAACAGTTTAACGTCCTAGTAGCTGAGAACTTGTAGTATACTGGTGTTGTTTACAGGCAGTCAAAGAGAAATGTGACTAAAAAAAGGACACGTAAAAAAAGTGACAGGTCAAGAAAATACCTAAATATGGTCAATTACAACTAGGATAAATGGATATTGATTTTTCATTCTGTTTATTAATCGTTGGCTAAAACCTAATAAATGCAAACCTAATAAAAAAGAAAAAAAAAGCTGACTACACAAGAACGTCAAGTCCAGGTTCCCTGCTCTGTAAAGGTTTAGGGCTGCATTTCAGCCATTGATGTTTAAGACCTGATTTAAGTATTGAAAAGTTATGAAATCAAAAAAATTCAACATCTGAATAGATTCGATGTAACCGTGTTCTACATGTTGTTACTTAAAACATTTATAGTAAAGTGTTTAGTAATGAACACTGCCTCTGTGTTAGTGTGGTGGGAAATTTATTTAACAAATAAATGGACTCATTATCAATTGTTCAGTGACTGTCAACATGAGCAGATAAATTAATAATAAATTGAACACTGGATTTAAATGAAGAATGTTCAGATGTGAACAGCTTTGAACCGGACCCTGCAGACACTGCCTCATCACCACAGAACATGTGCAACTGTGACCGGAGAGTAAAGGTAAACAGCTGCAGTCAACACACACACACAGAATGTTTCAACAGAGCAGTAAAATGAGCCATGTGGAAAAAGTGAGAAAGAGGATGTGAAGACGTGACTGAAGATGAATTAATGCAGGGACTAGACGTGAAAACATCTGTAGCTGTAACCGAACCTCGGCGTCGTCCTCTTCATAGGCCTCGTTCCCGTCTCCGCTTCCCTGGTTACTTTCCTCTCCTTCTCCCATTCCTCCATCATCCTCCTCTTCATCGTCCTCCTCTTCATCCTCTTCTTCTTCCTCTTCCTCCTCATAGTCCTGCATTCACACAGAGTTGTTTTTTTTTAATCAATGTCTGAGTATTGTGTGTGTCTCGGTGTCATTTAGACTTTTTTTACCTGCTCCTCTTCCTCTTCCTCCTCTTCCTGCTCTTCGTCGCTCTCCGTGTCAGTGATTATGACGATGACGTCTTGTGACAGCCGGGAGGTGTCGCTCTGTGACAGGGCGACCTCTTGATCCAATGACATGGACTGAGATGCAGCTCCGTCTTCTCCTTCTTCCAGAGATGGAAACTCCTCAGTCTGACGACACAGCAGACAGAACATGGACGTTTTCTCCACTTTATTTTATGATGTGATTCTGCACTAATGCCTAACTGTTTTACATAAACATTTCATTAACTGCCAAATAAACAACACTGTTATGTTTATGCATTGGTTTGACACACTGATAAACGGTGCAATCAGCTTGTGATTTAAGAATTAGAACTAACTAGGCATGCACATAAAAAATACAACAGCCTGAAATCATTAGCAGTTTTAGGGTCAAAGACAAAAGAAGCTTTGTTGTTGCAAACAATTGCACGTAGTATAATCATTGCAAAGACCAACCTGGCTTTCTGCAGCATCCTGACTGTCTGTTGGCACCACGCTGTCAGCCTCAGCACTCTCCTCCTGCAGCATCTCCTCCTGTGGCGGAAACCTGACAGTTAGATCTGCCGCAACATGCTTCAGTGAAAATGTCTTTTATTCCCACGTCACACATCACCTCTGGACCCACTCTCTGTATGATGCGAAGCTTCTTGGGTATAGGAGCTCTGGAGGTGTCCTCCTGTGGTGCCTCGGTGTCAGTCACCATGGTGGAGGTGCTTTCCTCTTCTTCTCTGGGCCTCTTGGACATGGTGGAAGTTCCTGGTGTTGCTGAAACTTGAGATAAAAACAGAATAAAACGTATGACCAACATGAAGAAGATTCTTGTTTGGGCAAATATTTAGTAAGTTAAGAGCAAAAATATTTTTTCTGGGAATTGAAATAATGTCACATTTGATTCCATCTCCCCATCAGAACACACAGTTTCTCACCTGTGCCAAACACTGATGACGTGGATGAGGTCGAAGGCCATTCCACCTGTGAGCTGGGTGTCGCTTCAATGACCACAGGAGGTGGCTCCTGATTGGCTGGCTCTGTATGAGTCATGCTCTGCTGCTGCGTTGGCTGCACAAATGCGGTTGCTTGTGTCTGGGTCTGCTGAAC